GTGGGCGCGTCCAGCCTCGGCCTCCGTACAGACTCCCCCTCTTTCCTCCTCCTCAGAGTCTGGGCCACGAGTCTTTGACTTTACCGACCAGCTCCACCTCCTGAGAGGCGACGACTCTGAACTCGGCAATCAGAATCCTTTTCATCCAAATGCCCTACTCCTGATTGTAAATTATTTCTTGACAGCAAAAAAATAAATAAATAAATAAGGCAATGACTAACGACACACCATTGATTGTCCTAATATTTTTCTCCTTGATAAAATATTCTTAGGGTGAGAGAAAAAAATAGAATGTGTTAGAAGATAGCCTGTGTTTTCTTCCCTGAACTGTTAGCTTAGATGATTCTGTGCGCTCAGCGATTCTGCCACTTAACCTTCCCTCTGACTCTCCGCTCATTAATAAACATATGGAAATATACTGGCTCCGGGACCAATCTCGGGGGCACCCGACTTCTGCCCTTTTTCCATGTTCAAAATTAGACAGGGCGAACGTTGTGATTATTTAAGGAGCTCAGTGGTGAAATGGGCAGGCTCACATGCAACCATGAAACCGGGGCCGAGTGGGGTTTTCATGAGGACGCTGGTGGAGGGACAGCCAGGCCACCCACTGCTGAAAAGCCTGCCCTGTGAGCGTCCGAGCTGCCCCAAGACCAGGCAGGTGGCGATGACTCAGCCAAGTGGCAGACCCTCCCTCTAAGCAGCCATTTCCTAGGGCCGACAGGAGGTGGGGGGACAGATGCCCCACAGCCAGCCTCCAAGCCCTATGGGGGGGTCATAGGGATGCTGTCCCTCCAGGTCCCTGATGTCACTGGACCTCAAGTGCCCATTCGTGAGAGAGGTTTGACCCAACCAATGGCTGTCACACAGAAGGTGGCCCCTCAAGACCTCAGTCTGGGCCCTGCTCTGTCCTGGGGGGACCTGTGACCTTGGAGACGTCCTGCCACCTCTGTGGGTGCAGTTTCCCCAAAAGGAAGCCAGAGGTAAGTCGCAGCCACTCAGCAGGCTCCTATGGGAGCACAGAGAGGAAGCACAGGGCTGTGTGTGGGCACAGAGGTGGGATGTCCTGGAAGTGGGTGGACTATAGGTGTCCCGTGTTCACCTCTTCCTCTGTTCCTTGGTCACGGCAGTGTCCCCGCTGCCTAGAGCGGTGCCTGGGACACGGTAGCTCAGCAAGAGAGTATCCTGTGTCCGAGCCCCCATTGCAGCTGCTCCAACGAGTACCACCGACGGAGACACACACCCCTTCACTTCTCACAGCTCTGAGGCGGTCAGTCCAAGGTCACGGTGCTGGCAGAGAAAGCCGGTTGAGGACCTGCTCTCTGGTTCCCTGTCAGCCGCTCTAGCTACGTCCTCACATGGCAGAGAGCAGAGAGAGTGAGTTCTCCAGGACCCTTAGAACATCGGTTCTCAACCTGTGGGTCGCGACCCCTTTGGGGGTCGAATGACCCTTTCACAGGGGTCGCCTAAGACCATCAGAAAACATATATAATTACATATTGTTTTTGTGATTAATCACTATGCTTTCATTATGTTATTTATAACAATGAAAATACATCCTGCATATCAGATATTTACATGACGATTCATAACAGTAGCAAAATTACGGTTACGAAGTAGCAACGAAAATAATTTTATGGTTGGGGGTCACCACAACATGAGGAACTGTATTAAAGGGTCGCGGCATTAGGAAGGTTGAGAACCACTGCCTTAGAAGGACACCAGGCCAGTCATGGGGGATCCGCCCTCACGACCTCATCCAGCCCTAGTCCCCTCCCAAAGGCCTCGCCTCCACACACCATCACACTGGGGGCTGGGTTTCCACATATGGCTTTGGAGGGAGAGACACGAACATCAGACCAGAACGGCGTGCATGTGCAAGGCGTGCTGAGCGCCACCCCGAAATCGCACAAAATGCACAGGGGCCCCCGGAGCTGCACTGCCGGAGGGGCCTCCTGCCCTGAGGTGTGAGGGCAGAGCACCAGCCAGCGACCAGCTCAGAGCCTCACCCACCCGGTCCCGGGCACTCTGGAAGCCCCGCCCCCCACAGGTACCCTGTCTGGTACCTGCAGGCCACCCTCCGCCACCCCTCTGGGGCCTCCCCTGCCTCAGAAGGGACAACTTCCTGGGCACATTCAGAGGAAAAGGCAAACAAGAAAATAATATAAATAAAATAGCCCCGGGAGAGGGCAGAGGTGACGCGTCTCGGCTCCCACGGCCCTCTCTGCCCGGGGGGAGCTCCCTCCACATGCCCAGGTGAGATTCGTGCCTCCCAGAACCCAGGCCAGGCTGGGGCCCAGGGCCCTCTGGATGCTGCCTTGGCCTTGACTTTGCGGGAGAGGAGTCACCCCACCCATGCGGCTCCCAAATCCACCCAGAGATGGTGGGGCGGGAGCCCAAGGACACACCTCCTTCCCCAGTCCCCGCTGCGGCCCTGGGCACCGGATCCCAGGTGGCGGGAGGAGAAGCCTCCTCTGAACATTACAGCCGCAGGCTGGCCTCCTGGGGCGCAGGCGTCAGAATTCACATTCCCTGTGGGACGTGAACAGTGGGTGAGGCTGTCCCGGAGGCATGGTGGCCCCAGGCCCCTGGCAGTAAGAATAGGAACCCTCTGAAGGCGGACATGGGTGATCCAGGCCCCCGACATATGCCACAGAGGAAGACCAAAGGGACAGATCCAAGAGCCCAGAGGAAAGAGGCCATCCTGACGGGAGGTTTGTAGGAAAAATTATAACAGAAAAACCAAACCCCCAAAGACGGAAAGTGTTAGGATCACAGCACATGGAATATAAAATATGTGTGCTTGATACAGTCAAATAAAATTTAAATATTTTAGTGCGCTCTTTTAAAATATTTTAAAATAATGTACTCAAGTTGCAGCTGAAGAGAGATTATAAAAAAACAACAGGTGAATTTTTAAAACTGATTTAATAAACCTTTTAGCTTTGAAAGACGGTGTTTGGGGTTTAACACACAACACGTGCACTGAAAGGCAGATGAGACCCCGCTGAAGAGGTGCTTCGTGGACGGGGAGAGATGGAGGAACTCCCCGGAAAACACCACCGGAGGGACCGCACTGGGTGGTGGGAAGTGAGGCCAAGAAACATGGGGTTTAAGGGAAAAGGCGAATGTCCAGTGAAAGTTCCAGAAAGTGAAGAAAGAATGAAAAGAAGACGGAGAGAGGCGATATTCGGGGTGACAACGGCCAAACATCTCCCGGAATTGGCGGAGATGGCCAGGCCCCGTTCCTGGAAGTAGGGCAGGTCCCACGGGCTCTGAAGGAGACCTTGTGAGGGGCCGTCAGCAGGAAGCCACGGCCGCCCTGGGGGCTCCTGGAAGGCAGTGCTGGGGCTGAGGAGGCGCCTCTGGAGCGGTGATGCGGGCCCTCGGAGTGTAGTTTTTAGAGAGACTATCTGTGTTCACGTGTTTTGCCGTCGGTACATTCTGTTTGGTTAAATGCCTCTTCGTATCTTTGCCTGCTGTCCAATGGGATCCTTTGTGTTTTTAATGTCGAGTTTCGAGCGCTGTTTGTATACATTTAGGCAACCATTCTTTGTGAAACAGGTGATTTGCAAACATTTTCTCTCGGCGTTTCCCTTGCCTTCTCATCCTCCTCACAGGTTTCTCATAGCGCGGAACACTTTCCTGTCGATGTGTCCATTGTATCGCTTCCCCCTCCTTTGGGCCGTACTGTTGGGGTCAAGAGGGACTCTTTGCCAAGCCCTGGATACCAAGGAAGTTCTCCTGCGCTGTTTTTTATCCTCAAAGATTCGTGGCTCACATTTTACATTAAGTCCATGGTTCATTTTGACCTACATTTGAGTAGCACACGAGGCCGGGCCAGGCCCACCTTCTGTGCTTGGTGTGACCCAGGGCGGCTGGGCTCGGGCCTCCTGTCTGCCCTGGGAAGACCCTTCCCCGCTGGCGACTGTGCCCCGCTCCGTCGGTGGGCCCGGCCCCGGGGCTCCTGTCCTTCCTCTCCGGTGGCTCCTGCAGAATGACTCCTCCACTCGGGGAACCCCGGGCGGTGGCCCTGTCACGGCAGAAGGACCCTCTCCTGGACGACGTCCAACAACAAGTCCCATTCAGAGTCCTTAAGGAAGAACAATCAGTAAACCTGCAACGAGCCCCCAAGGACGCCACTCCTGCTGTTCCGTTCAAACTTGACCTTCCACAGGAAAACGCATTAAAAAGCCATATTTACAGATTGATGAGTCGCTCTACAAGAATAATTCCACTTCTGCTATCAAGTGGCACGGCGCTTTTAAACACCATCACTCATGCTGCCGCCGCGGCCCCGTGGGAGCCTGCCTCACGGAGATCCGATGAATAAAAGATGCCAAGCGCCATGGCTTCCCTGGGCTTGGCTGCGGCTGGAGGGGCGGAGGGCGGAGCCTGGCACAGGTAGCCTGAGCACCTTCCACCCCGGGAACGCCGTTTGCCAGCACAAGGACAGCCGAGGAGCTGTTCCTGCTGCCCTGAGCTCACTGTGGAAGGAGGGCTGTTCCTGGACCGAGTCATCCTGACCCCGACCGGGTGTGGGCCGGGCAGCTCAGGGGCCTGAGCCCGCACTCTCGGGGAGCAGCAGGACACGCTCCTGAGGAAGAGAGAAGCCCTCAGGAAGGCCCCGAGAGGCCCACACGGGTGCGAACCTGCCGGGGAGTCCGGAGAAGACGGGGTTTGAGCCCGAGCTATGGTTTCCCCTCCACTCCTCTTCTGGATGCTTCCGTGGGACAAGACCTCCTCCCCACGAGCTTTGTGAGTGAAGACAGGACCCACAGAAAAGACGAGCAGAGGACGAGTCTCTTTAGAAAGTGGTCCAGCCTCATGGGTGAGAAGTCCGGGGAGGAGGAGGGGGCAGCGTTGCAGGAGAAACAGGTGACGCCTGGGCAGTCACAGAGGATGTCCTAGAGGGCGAGTTCTTCATCCTGCAGCCCTTGGTCCTGTCCTGGACGTGCTGTTTCATCCACATCAACCCTCCCTCTCTCCAAGGCCCACCTCACTGTCGCTTTTGGGCGGGCCTGGCGCCTCCAGACAGAGCTGGTCGCCATCTCTTTCTCCTCCACAGAGCATGGGTTCAGGGGGCCACGGAACACCGTCAGCTTGGTCTTGCCACGCGAATGGGAAGGCCTGCAATTGCCCCAGGACCCAGTGCAGTGCTGGGCAACAGCAGACATTCCATCACTGTGCACATTAATGAGTGACAAGAGAATGAATGAATGAGTGAATGAATGAATGAATGAATGAAAAAAAATGAAACCATTTTATACTGTCCATGTAACTCCTGTGATGCATGGCTAGCTTGTAAATGCACACTCTTGCCCTTCCCAGAAAGTATCGATAAACAAGATGCAAAAGCTCTTTTCACAAAAAGGGAAACACCTTGAGCAAAGTGTGAACGGCACTGTTCTTCCTTTAATCTGTGAGTCTACACCCCAATTCCTTCCCAGCAAGCCAAAACCAGCTCTGTTGCAACAATAATACAGAGTGTTCATTAGGCCATTTCAAAACCAAAAAGGGTCTCCCAGCTGCTTGGGCATCAAGTGGGAGGGTTCAAGGGCCCTCCTGAGACCCACCCACCCACCCACTCCACAGCCAGGGCTGCAGCACCCACACTCCCTGCATTGATGGAGAGGGAATTGTGTTTCATGCCAAGGACAGACTTTTCCGGAGGCATTAATTACCATCCGCCTCCACAGCTTCATTGCTCACAATGGCCAAGAAGGGGTTGCTGTGCAGAGCCCAGCACTGGGGACGGTTGGTATGTGGACCACTGGAAGTTACTTAGAATATTTATGGGGGCGGGTGGTGGGATCCAAAGACACTGAAAAATAGTATGTGTGCCAATTTTCCACACCATTTCTGTTTGCTCATCCTCACCCGAGGACATTTTCCCATTGATCCTTCAACGAGAGTGGAAAGGAGGGAGCAAGGGAGAGGGAGAGAGAGAGAGAGAGAGAGAGAGAGAGAGAGAGAGAGAGTGAGAGAGACCCATAGTTTGGTTGCCTCCCCCACGTGCCCGGAACTGCGCCTGGGATTGAACCTGCAACCCAGGTACGTGCCCTTGATACATGCCCTTGACCCAGTGGGGGCCGTGCAGAAAGCAGCCAATCCATGTTTCTCTCTCATCAATGTTTCTATCAATAAAAACAATAACAGAAAACACCTCAATTACTTTATAGGAAAGAAAGGCTTTTGGATGACAACTAGCAACCTGGACCATGGAGGCCCTCCCATGGGAGTTCACACTTCGCATCCACACAGCTTCCCAGGGTGTGGTGCCGATGGTCTCCGAGCGGACTTGTGAGCAACGGCACACGTCTGTCTGACTACACAGGACGCAGACTGTCCCTTGAGGAGACACCACGCTCTGCACTCGGTTGCGTGCCTGCGCTTGCGTCCTGACTCGGATTCGCCTTCGCTCTGGGACCTGGAGCAGCCCCTGCGCGCGGGGCCTGGCACGTGGCAGGCGTTCACACTCAGCCGCACAGCCACCTGCGGCTGGCGCTGTGTTTGTCTTGTGCCCTGAATGACACTGAGGCCTCCCCCAGGGCCCAGAGGGGGAAGCTAGCTCAGTGAGGGTGGTGGGGGCCAGGAGAGAGAGGCCATTTTCCTTGGACAGATGCTCCTGAGGTTGTTACAGTCCCAGGTTAACTTACAGAGTCCAGATGCAGACCGTCCTTCCCAGCGCTCTCCTAGCTCGTGGGGAGTGCTGGGTCTCCGAGGGCCTCCTCAATGAGGACGAGGCTCCCAAAAAGGGTCTTTGTTCTCCACTGAATTAGCTTGACCTTATATTTCATTTATTTGATCTATTCATCCATCCCGAAAATTGCACAGTTTCTTAAGCAGCTTCATCGTAAGTTTTAGAATCAGATGGCATGATCATACGAAATTCAAAATAACTACAGGACCCACACTAATTTCAGAAAAGAAGGAAGCCTGAGAACTTTAGATGAATTTAGCTGGGTCAGCGAGTACGGGGTAGTCGTCCGCTTCAGGCCCTCCAATAGGCGAGGAGTCCCCTTCCAGTCTCAGATGTTGATTGACATTATGAAATGCATTTCTCACATAATATTGAGGTCACCTTTTTTAAAAAAAAAAGTTTCTTTTAACATGGCAAATTAAATTGCATTCTGAGAATAATCACCACTCGATAATATGTTATTCTTTTATATATGGCTTGATTTGAATTGCTAATACGTAACTAAATTTTTACATCTATATTCATGAGGAATATTGGTCCTCGCTTTCTTGTGAACTTTCTTTTCATAAATGAGTTGGAAAGTGTTCCATCTTCTATTTTCTGAGGGAGCTTATGTAATGTTGGTATTATGTCTTTCCTAAACTTTTGATAAAATTCACCATTAACGTCACCGTGTCTGCAGTCTGATTTGTGAGTGGGTTTTAAATATAAATCCAAATACATTAGTAGGTAAGATATATTTATTTTGTATCATTTTTGGTATGTTACCATTTTCAAGGAATTTGCCAGTTTCATCTATATTTTTATGATTATGCCCTATTAATGTCTGTAGGAGCTATAGTGATGTCACCTCTTTCACTCCCGATATCTGTATTTTTCCTGTTCTTAAAAATAAGTCTAGGTAGAGGCTTATCAATGTTATTGATTTTTTAAAATATCACTTTTCATTTATTTCCTCTGTTTTTGTTCATTTTTTATTTCTTCTCATCTTCATTATTTCATTTCCTTTACATATTTTGTTTTTATATTGTTTCTTTTCTCATTTCTTAATGTAGAAGCTTTCATGATTAATTTTAAAACTTTCTTATTCCCTGATATAAGCATTTAAAACCCTAAATTCCTCTCTCTGTCAGCTTTATCTGTACCTCACAAATTTTGATATGCTCTGTTATCATTGAGTACAAAATGTTTTTAATTTCCAAGTATTTTGAGATTTTCTAGACATGTTTTTGATTTCTAATTTAATTTTAGTTTGTTCAGAGCTCATAACCTGTGTGACTTCAATCCTTTTAAATTTATTTTTATTCATTTTGGCCCTATATACAGTATATTTTGGCAAAGTTTTATGTGTACTTGGCAAGAATGTGTTTTTCTATTGTTGGGTGGAGTATTCAATGAGAACTAAGTCAACTGGGCTGTTAGCACTGTTCAAGTCTCCTGTGTCCTCACTGATTTTATATCGACCTGCTCTTAGATAACTTAGAGAGAAGCTGAGAAATAGCTAACTATACCTGTTGGTTTCTTTATTTCTCTATTAAATTCTGAGTATTTACTCTCCCAGTATTTGGAATTTGTTATTGGGTGCATATGCACTTAAAACTGCTGTGTCTTCTTAATGATTCCATCATTTATCCTTGTGAAAGTTTATCTCTTACGATATTTCCTCTTTCTGTAATCTTTATCTAGTAATTATATAGCCATTCCAGCTCTTGTATCAGTAAGAGTTCCATGACATAACTCGTCATCTTTCTACTTTTTATATTTAAAATATATAAAAGGGGACATATGTAATACTTTCAACAGTAAAAATTTAATTTTAAAAAATCCTATATAATAAAAGGCTAATATGCAAATTGTCCCCTCGGGAGTTAGACCAACTGGGAGTTCAACCGCTCACTATAACATGCGCTGACCACCAGGGGGCAGTGCGGAACAAAGGAAGGCCCCAGCCAGCCAGGCAGCTGGGGGAAGGAGGCCCTGATGGGCCCTGATTACTGGCCAGGCCTAGGGACTCTACCCATGCCCAAATTTCATGCACTGAGCCTCTAATAATAAAATAAAATATATACATCATGAAGATAGCATAGAGTTATATTGCATTTTTCCAGTCTAATAATCTCTACCTTTTCGATGCAATTTAGATAATTTACATTTAATGTACTCACTGATATGGTTAGGTTTAAGTCCACCATTTTATCATTTCTTTTTCTTCCCCTTCTGTTCTTTCTTACCTTATTTCTACTTTTCCTGTTTTTTACCATTACTTTGGGTTGAGAAATTCTAGTGTTCATTTTCTCTCTCCCACTGGCTTATTAGCAAAACCTTCTCTTTTGTTTGTTTTTTATTAGAGGCGATAGGGAATAGGCATAATTAAAATGTCTCAGTCAGCTTTCAAATAGTATACAGCTTCACACTTAATATAAGAAACAGACAACAGTTTACTGCAGTTTTCACTTCACTCCATTACATGTTATGAACTCTACAATTGTTCTTATTCTTCCTTATGACTTTGATGAATGGTCTGGAGTTAAATAAGGCCACTTTGGCCACTCAGCATTCAAACATCTTCCAGCTGTGTGAGCAACAGGAATTGTTCATTTCACAGCCACACAGCAACACACCCTCACTAACTTTATGGAGTTCCACATTGTGGATGTGCAGCTTAATCTTCAGCCAGCTACGCAATGAGGATCCTATGAAACTCTCTGGAGCCCTTTCTCTGCTTCGCTTCTGCCTCTAAGGCAGTGGTTCTCAACCTTCCTAATGCCGAGACCCTTTAATACAGTTCCTCATGTTGTGGTGACCCCCAATTTCATTGTGACAAATTGAACATAATTAAAGCATAGTGGTTAATCACAAAAACAATATGTAATTATGTGTTTTCCAATGGTCTTAGACAACCCCTGTGAAAGGGTTGCGACCCACAGGTTGAGAACCGCTGCTGAGGTGAACTGCTCTGCAAATTCAGCCACGTCACCTTGCTCAACTCTGACCTGTGTCCTCAGTTCAGCAAGGCTGCCACGCACCACTGGGACCCACTCCTTGTGCCACAGTCTGGGTAATACCTCCAGGAGGAATGGGTGAGCTGGTCACTGGGCCACCTAATTTGTTTCCTGTCTCTCAGGGACTGCGATCTTGGATTCCAGTTAATGAAAGACTCCAAAATTTTGTTTTATATATTTATCCAGTTTTCTACTTAGTGGAGTAAAGATGAGTCTATATCACCTGACCTGTCATGGATGGAAGTGGAATATAAATTATATAATATTATTTTATGCTTTTCTGTACTATCTCCTACATTCTGTACCATATCCTACTTTTATTCAAATGTTTTCATTTGAAGTTATCTACTATTATTTCTAATTATATATTTCAATTTTAAAACTATAGCCCTCCAGTGTTTTTGCACACTGTCTCTCACAAAGTTTTATTTACATACTAGAGGCCCAGTGCATGAAAATTCGTGTTAGAGTA